ACACAGTCTAGTGGGGAACAAAACCTTCTTGCATCGGGTTTCCACAATTATACAAATAATTCCAGCTATGTCAGTGAGCAGCCCTTGCTTCCAAGTAGTTTATCTCCTTGATAAACACCAGAGCCACCACGCTGAATCATTGTTATTTAGGAATTTCAAGCCAAGCAGAAGAGCTCCAGCAGGAGGATTCAAGGGAGGTCAAGGATAACCTTTCATGTCTAACAAATTGCTGTCGTTGGCTTTTTATTTTGGTGAAAAAATAACAAATCAAAAAATCCCAAACCAAAATTATAACCCTATTTGACTAATGCAAAGTGCTATTCACACAGCACTTCTTGCGTACTTATGTCCGTTTTTTAGCAATGAGGATTTTACAGGAAGCTAATAAGCATTAAATCCTTAATCCTTTATCTGTCTATGGAAATAGGATTTAGACTCTCACATGGATTCATGGGTTTTTTTTCTCTACTGTGTGCAATAACAGTTCAAGCAGTTATAGTAGCTATGAGAGGTAGAGATCTTTAAGCACTCGGGTGAATACATTCACATTAATCTGTGTTTGCAATAGCAGTTCAATTACACTCTTTGGCACGGACAAAAAAAACTGAAGGGAAAGCATGGCTTTGTTAATACTCTTCCCAACAACAGGATGAAAATACACTATTCATTAAATGCCTACATTGAAATAAGCAGTACTTGCTATATCTCAAGTAAATTCTGTTCTAACCTCTCAGAAACAAATGCTAATTTTTCTGAGAGAGTACAGTTCCCTTCTACATCAGGAGAGCATCAAAGTGCTGTCTTCTAACTTCATAAATCACTGAGTTAAATTTTGTCATTTAAAAAAAATCCATTTAAAAGAACATTTAGGTGCATATATGTGAGTATTAAATACAACTGAGGATAGTTTTCCTCCTTCTTATGGAGGACAAAAATAGAAACGTACTTCAAGGCACTAGTGCCATGAACAGAAATAGTTTTAAAACAATTTCTGTGCTTATGAAGTTATGTGAGCATTTTCTCACTGCAGGTAAAACATTCCTCTTCCCAGATTGCCTAACCAGAAGGAAAGGATATTCGTGGTCTCCAAAGCAAACATTCCAAGAGATAAAAATGGGCTGTTTCCACCAGCAAAGGAAATGGTCTGAGGCACAGATTTAGGATCTGGACACAGCCAGCATGCTCATTCACTCAAGGATACTTGGACCATTGATATAGAAGAAAAAACAAAAGTTTTGTCACAATCCAGATTGTTTTTTCACAAAATACTGTCAGTCTTTCCAGTATAAATTACTGTCTGAATTTTTGTTAAAATTATAATTTAAATGGTAAAAGTGATTTTACATGCAATATGTTTGGGAAGGCTTTGTAAAAGGGAGATGAAAAAACCCACATACAGCCAATACCAGGTTTGTGTGCAACACAACTATAAAGTGTGAGCTCCTCTTCCTTGCAACTCTGCTTCCATCCTGAAGGTTAAATCAGCAGTGTTCCATATTGGGGAGTAAAGGCCTTGAAGGGAAATCTGACTCTGTTCCTAACTGGACTAATTTAGGCTAGTAGCAGGACATTACTCAGATAAAGGGGAGGAATTAAAACACCTGCAAATCCACATTAGAAACTCATCTCAGCCTTTGGGAGGTTATGGATTGGCAGTGTTTTCCTACTCTGCCCACATCAATTCCACCTCTGGGTATCATAACATTATTATTGCACAAGTCCCAGTACTAAGTAAAAACAAGTGTAGAAATTTAAGGCGTTCAACAACTACTCCAGCTGAAGCTGCCTGTTAAGAGAAGAGCCTATATCCACATCACAGAAGAGCAGTGGAACTATTTCTGGCATTTATCTGTGTACATTGTACATACACAGAGGATGCTTTCATCCTACAGACCTACAAAGTCTGTACACTCAATCATCCATCCCTGGTTATTATAACCCCTCCTTTTTTAAGGGACCGTAGAATTGCTGCTATAGCACGAATCTGTCCTTCAGTTTTTAAAGTAAATCATCATGCTCTTATTTTTGTGATTCTCACTGGAATTTCCCAGCTGAAAGATGCCTCATGAATTAGTGGTATGTTTTGAGCATGAATGCACTCGTGAGGAAGCTCTGTTCCAAAAGATGGCTGCAATTGTTTCTCCATTTTAAAAAATAGTAATAAACAGCATTGATCTAAAAGCTCAGATGACACTTGTTGGCTTAGATTCTTCTAACCCAATGAGGACTGTTGGCAGGGAATTGGTGGGGAATTTAACCTCAGATGGTAGCCAGAGAATATATTTTGTACAACAGAATAATAGTGTGACAACAGCCCAGTGCCTTCAAAAGGCCACAAAGCTTTTTCCCCTTCCACCATGTGACAATAAATAAATAAATACAAGTAGAAGTACCACACAGTGTTCTAGTTCTTTGAATACAGCTCTTGTTAGATTGTTCCCAGAAGCCTGCCTTTGGGCATGGCAAATTAAAGGTACTGAAATGTCACAGAAATGCAACATTTGACTCAGCCCCACAATGTGCTGGTTGGCAATGGATGACTGAAAGCAGGCATCAGAAAAGTACAAAAGAGAGAAGTGCATGAGAGAGAGCATAGGTAGGCATGTATGTGTGCAAAACTGTAACACAATTCTAATATAATTTCAGCGTGGCATCACCAGCTTGGCCTGAGTGCCCAAGCTTTAGGAGAAGAGGTTGCAGAAAACTTAGTGCAAATAAAAAACACCAAGTGTGTCCAATAACTGGGAGTTGCAGGACACCCTTCCTCCCCTTGGGTCATAGAGCTTCTCACTAAATTCTCTGCCTTCTGACTCACACAAGGGCTTCCATCAAAAACAGCTTTGCTTTTAAGCCTCATTGATGCTTGCAGGGGGGTACCAGCCTCACACCACTTGGTCAAGGAGGGAAGCTGTGAAAAACAGGCTGAGATTGACATGGGACTCATAGAAGAGCTTCAGCTCTTTTCATTTTGCATGGACCAGTGTTTGCATCTCATGGAAGTGGAAAGGAGGAAAAAGACCTTGAGATGGGAGAGGTAGAAGAGAGCATGAGCTCCAGACAGCCTTGCCCATAAGCAGCATCCTCTCCTCCAGAACCAGAGACAAGGCTTGGGCCCTGGTACCTCAGGGCAAGAACCACAAGAAGACACTTGTTACCTTCTGCCTCGTGGCTTTTCAAACCTTCAGGCAGCACCAGGAACGGTGGTCCCAACCCACATGTTACTTCAGCCTAAGCCTGATTTGGCATATACATAAAATATACAAAGCAGCAGCATGGTTCCACACAAGGAGTAAGGCATGCACTGAACTAATTTGTGGGAAGAGACATCACTGCTGAGTGAAACTGCCTTTCACAGCTGGAGAAACTGGGCAAACTAGGGAAACAGGCTAACTCAAAAGACCCCAAGCTCTTCTTCAGGGTATGAAGAAGGTCATTCCCTGGCAATGCAAAAATGTGTCACCTACTAGAGACAGAGTAATTTAGGTTGAAAAAGACCTCTAGGATCATCCACTCAAACCTTTAATCTGGCACTGCAAAGGCCACAACTTAACCATGTCCCTCAGTGTCACATCTATGCTTCCTTTAAATATGCCCAGGGATGGTGACTCCACCACTTCCCTGGGCAGCCTGTTCTAGTGCTTGACAACCCTTTCAATCAAGAGATTTTTCTTAATATTCAAACTATTAGACCAAATGATTTTTTAAAAAGTCACTCTGACAGTCCTGATATCTGAATTTTAAATTGGAATTAATTAACTTGATCTCTGATTCCCTCTCCAGGAGTCCTGCTCTGGTGTCAACTCCCAACCATTAAAAAGCCACTGCTGCAAAGCTTTCAAAGGAATTACATTCTCTTGTGAGCAGAAATCATGCTGAAGAACAAGACCTCTCTACAGAGAGCTGTGGCCAGCTGGGTTATAAGCAATGTTCACAGGGCTGGCTCATTGCTTAGCGCCCATGAGGGGTTTTTTTTCTCTAAACCTATGAGAACATTTTGGCAGTTAAATACAATGTCAGATTTTATGCCCTAAAATGCTTAATAATTGAGGGATTTGTCATCGAATTCTGTTTCAATGAAATGCTTAAGCTGGTACTTAACTAAGCATCAGAGAGTCCCTGAAGACAACAGTAAATCTGCATGGTTGAGCTAACCCAGGCTTGAGGTCTGATGTGGTAGAAGCCTGCTGTCTTCTCTCCCCTCATTCTGATTTACCAGGCCATATAATCGTGTGTGGTTTGCACTTCTGTCACAATAAATTCAGTATCAACTCAACCACAGGTACTGCAGGCAGTGTGTGGTACTACCAAAAAAATCTTCAGTCCAAACTTAGTTGTTTGCCTAAGTTTTCTGCTGATTTGGGGTCTTCTGTGTAACGTGTACCTGGGGATAAATGCTTAATTCTAATTCTAGTACAACTTTACTTCTCTGCCATGCAAATCCCACACTCCTCTGGATAACTCTTCCCAATTATCAGAGCTACCTCTGATCTCAACAATCCACCTTATTTGTTGAAGCACTGGCCAAGCAAAACTGAAAGCAACAATACAGTCACCAGTGAGCTTTGTGTAAATAGCAATTCTTCTTCCTTTTCACAGCAAAATTCATCTGCCCTGCAACTCCTGCCCATGAGTGGGGAGAATGGACCCATTCAGCACTGAACTACCTATAAAATAACTCAGCTGTCTGAACTCCTTGCTATGTTTATATATAGAAACCTACAATGCAAATGCTTACAGTAATTCTGAATATCTTATATGAAATAAATATCACAAATAAATTCTAATATTCAAAACAGAATAGTATACAACGTTAGGCACCAAGTTACATTTATAAATGCCACAAGCATTAGTACTATCTATTCAGCTTAATTTCTTAGTATGCAAGCTTCAGCAATTTCTAGCTACACTTCACTTCAGAAGTCATAATAAATGCTGGTCATGCCTAAATCTAAGAAGAAACAAAACCACAAAAGTTCTCCATCATCTTTCCATATTGTAATAATATACGAGTTTCATGGAATTCATTAACACTGTCCAATATTAAATATCAAGTCTGGAACACAGGTCTCTATGTTTTAAATAAAATCAGAGCAGGAGCAACATATTTGTCAGCACTGCATCCATACACAGTGAAAGCAGAGACAGTGAGAGCCTGCACCCAAATCAGAGCTGCAGCTTCCCAGGATAAAAAGAGAACAGGAGCAGTTCCACTGGCAAAAGGGAGGAGAGGGAGAGAGGAGGCACTGAATGTAGCTCCAATTACAAATATTATTGAAGAATAGTTTGAAGAAATAGCCTGGACTCGGGTCTTGCCAGCTCAGTCAAAAATGGCCCCTGTCCCAAAAGTCAGCAATGGCACGTGGGAGCTCTGCTGACAAGGGCAGGTTACAAATTTTGCCTGCACAGGACAGAAAGTTTGCTATGCCATAGGCACATAGGGCAGTTCATTCTCTTTATCTTAATATCAGTATTTCTGCCAACAATTTCTCATGGGGGAAGTGAGTGATTCACAATTACATTTCATTTCAGGAAAAGAAAAGATATCACACACTCAATACCCTGACTCAACTTCAGCTCACACTACTGAATAATAAAATCTAGATCCTGCCCTGGAAATTTCCTTACACTTTAGATCATGCCACTTTTGTCATCTTGCAAAGAGGATCGTGAAGGGGATCTTCCTAGCAACAGCTCCTTCTCATGGATCAGGCTATCTAGCAGGTCCTCCTGTCTGTAGTTGTGATAAACCTTCAGGAAAGCCAGAATGGTAATTGCCAGCCAAGTCAGCCAGGCAGCCCAGAGACCAAACTAGAGAAGGAAAGAAATCATAAAGAGGTCAGTACAGTATTGTGAAAACAAAGTCAATTGTCCAGGTGATTATGAAAACCTCAGCTGGACCAAAACCCATGGAGTCAAGCCAAGCTAAATCCAGGGAGGTCCTGGGTTCTTCATAAAAAGGAGTCACTTTTATGGCATCTTTCTTTCCTAAATGCAGTTATGCCTGAGCTGGGCATCTAGATGCCAGTGTTGGCAGCAAAGATACAAAATTGACTCATGCCTAAGAGGCAGGGCTACCTTCAAGGAATGCTCCAGGCAGGCTAATGCCTCTTTCTGTGATGGGACTATTGTCCCTCTGAAATTAGCATATGCTCATGTCCCAGTGTTCACTGACTCTGATCATTGACTTAGAGCGAGAATATTCAATAGAAAGGTCTGACAGCCTTAGAGGTCTAATTCTCATGGACTCATCAGAATACAGCCCTATCTGAATTAATCAATCTTTGATTATTTTCAATGGTCTAATATTTATTTAGCTTAGGTGATCTCAGTCGAACTCAAGGAAGGCAAAATTAGGAATTCCACAATGTCATGCAGGTCAGAAATTATTTTGAACAGTAGTGATGAGATCCATTACACCAGAGGGCTGCAACTTTTGCAGACCTCATCCTTTGGATAAACAATGAGTTTTCTGTCATGATTAACAAGATCGGTGGTAGGGTGAGGCTTTGACACATCTGTATTCAAAACTGTCTATTTAGAATTTAAAATGCAAATGTGCCCATCACTATCATTCTGATTCAGCACTTAATGAAGTCAATGGAAACATTCCCATTGATTTCTGAGAATGGTAGCTCAGCTCCAGCAATCCCAGGTCAATAAGCAAATGGCAAATGAACCAGAAGCATAGAACCATGACTTAGTCTGACCTACCTGTGCAATAGCAAATTGGTCATAGAAAGCAGAGTTTTCCAAATTCAGCTCAAGATCTATATCCTGCAATTCTTCACAGCTACCAAGAAAGGCATTTGGAAGGGAAAAACAAATGAGAAAATTATTTAAGAGATTCCAAGTAAACCAAATAGAAAATGAAACAACATATTAAATGTATTTTGAACAGTTACAATGGCAGATTCTATCAGAGGATATTTAAGTTATTGCAATCATCAGGTTGTTTGCTGTTGTCTCTAAAACTAAGATAAAAATTACTTTCTTTTGCAAAAAAAAAATAAAAATAAAAAGTGCAGTTATGAAAGTGATAATATAAATCTTCCTTAAGTGGAATTGCAGTAGCTATTATGAACACAGCATCCTGAAACCCCTCTATCCCACTACCCCCTCACCTCCCACAGATTTGCCCCTGGCATCACCCCAGGTTGGTTGCTTCACCCCTCAATGAAACAAAGTGTATGATCCTCTGTTACCTTTTGACTTCATCAGGAAAAGCCTCAGAAGAAGGAATTGTGTTTTTGTTTCCAGCAAGGAGACGATACTCTGATGGTAAGATAGGGGCTGCCTACAGATTTTACAAATAACTTGGACCATTACTGCTGTGAAAATAATCCCAGGTTTTTGAGGTTGTCATTCTATCTCTTGGTTGATTTCTGCAGCCTCTTCTCTCTCCTTTTCAGTGCTGTCGGTCATCTTGGTTTCTTACCCGAATATTCGATTAGATGGTTTTTGTAATTGAATTTTTAACCGAATATTCAAGTAATTCGATTAATCGTTGCAGCCCTAAACAGAACATTCACTATGGCATTTTACAACATATGACAATGTGCAACATAAGTGTCTGCTTTAAGTAGTACATTTATTCAATATCATATGACATAAAATGTCACATTTTCCTCTCCCTTCATCATTATTTGTTTGATAGGAGCAAATCTTCCTCAACTTATCATGTTTTCTCTAAGGAGCATAAGCTTTGTGGGATAGAGTGGGCCATTTTAGGAGCTGTACATTTTGTGACTGTAACAAAGCATCAGCCATCTGTACTTTGAACTTACAAAGTGCTTTCCATTCTGTGGCTCTCAGGGCATCCACAGCATCACTACAAGGCAAGGAACTCCACCCCAAATTTTTTGCTGATGATGAGCTGTGGCACAGGCAGGATTAGTGACTTGCCTGGTGTCACACAGTGGGTTGGGAGCAGAACCAGGATTGCAAGCCAGGAGCCCTGACCCCCAGCACCCTGCCCTGCTCACAAGGCCACACTCCCCCCATTCCTAGAAAAACTCCAAACCTAGCATTCCTTTGGAAATAAAAAATTTTAACATAATGGATTTGTTTTTCATATGATCATGACTCAAAGAGACCACAAAATACGATGGAAACACGCTTCTCTTTGTGGGCTTCTAAATAAACAAACAAAAAGAAGTTTGATTTGCTTTTTTTTTGTTCCACATGAAAAAAAGTCTGGATTTTCGTATTACAGATGCCTCCTCCCCCTTGCCCACCTTGCGTGTAATAACTACACTTTGTAACACCAGAGTTCAATTGTGCCTATATGAAAAAAAATAAAAGGAAAAAAATGTATTCTTCAATACTAACCTATTTGGCATGCTTCCTTTTTCAGTAATTGCATCACACCACATGTTAAATCCTACACTCACTATAGTGCTGGCAATAAATGTGATGAACACCACAAAGGCGCTGATCAGCAGATTCAGGAAGGCGTAAAAGAAAGAGCTGTAATAAAAGGGAAGAAAAATGCAACTCATAAACAGCTGAAACACAACATCAGCAGTCTCTGTAAGCAGCACAGAGCGGGCACAAAGATATCAGTTTCCATTTGAAACACATCTTTAATTAAGAACACCTAAAACATTGAAACACTATGGACTTGATTTTGAGTCACATTACCTTCACTTGCAAATGCTTTTGATTTTGATTTCTTTTTTAACCATAAGAAGATGTGGCTTTATATAATAAGTGGTGATTGCTCATACACAATGTGGCTTTCATTAGCTGTAATGATGAAAATCACCATTGTTAAAATAAATGTCATTAGCTCAAATTATGTAGTAACTGGAGCTAAAATTATTTCATGACTTAAGTGATAATTGGGACAAAAATTGCTTAGGAGAGGGAAACTAAAAATAAAAACACAGAACTGATAGCTATAATCATTTTAAGCAATGTAACACGAGGTACTGCCATCATAGGACACGAATCTCAGTTTTATGGGCAATTTGCAGAGCGGGCCAGCTTCTCCTGGGATTTCTCTGGCTTTGGTGTCAGTATGCTGTGTCTGCCAGCTGAATATCAATTTACCTCAGCCCCATTAAATCTGCCCAGCCAGGGCCTGCCCTCAGCACGTGCTGTGTTTGGAGTGGGATGGGTGGGATGCTTACAAATGTCCCATAAGACCATGGAATTACTCACTTATTTTCCAGCCTCACTGTTTAACTCCTTATCTGAATTCTAGCTGTGAAAAGTTTCTAATCCTGGTCATCTGGCAAAGCCCCTTCTCTACTTGAAACTGTTCTAAGAGGTTGTTTAGAATAGGACCCCTTAGCATGTTGTGTTATGTAAAAACTGGATATATGCTCCAAGTTGGAGAAAGACTGAAAGCTCCAGGAGGCAGGTCATCCTATTCAGAGTATGTGATAAAGATGAATACGACAAATTTCTCACCAGTGCCACTCATTGTGCTGGTGATAGAAGGAATCTAATCACCCCAGAGAAAGAAAAAAACCCTCAGTCACTTCTTTGCCCTGGTTGCTCATTAAATGAAAAGCCAAGAGGCTTTTTAAATGAGTGTTTGAGTCCTGGAAGGTTCTGGGCTGGACAATCCTAATTTCTACAGGTTATGCATGATACATTTGTGACCTCAGGAGAATTTCTTTAAAATGAGATGAAGAAGCAATTATTAGCAGAGTTAGGATGTTTGCTCCTGGGTTGATGTGGCTTTAGAGGGGCTGTCTAGTCTCTCTCCAAAGCAACAGTTGTCCCACCCCAAGATTGATAGAAAAGAAGTGAAATAAACCACCTTTAAGAAGTGCCCCTATAGACTGTAGTGGGTCCTGAATGCCAGGATACCTGACTTCTGGATGAACAATAAGCTGAATCCTGCTCTGGTTTATCTGGGCTTGCTGAAGTAGATCAGCTCACCTTTGCTGGGGTCACCCACACAGTGAGAGCTGCTATGAGCATACCAGATTTTTGCATGTTCTCTGCCCTGACTTCACATCTAGCCTGGATTTCATCCCAAGCATTGCTAAAGTCAGATCACACCTTCTGTGTGCACCTTAGCATGGTATGCAGGCCTGAGAGGCAGAAAAGACTTGAGCTCTTCACAGAATAAAACAGACTTGGCATCAAAATTAGTAACAGCTCTAGGAAAGGAGCAGTTCTCAGGACTATTCAGTGGGTCATCACACCCAGGATCTCCAGTTCTCCCTCTATTTCTTATCCTGCAGCAAAAGTTCCATGGACCAGGATCTGACCTTCCACTCACAACGCAGGGCTCAGCCTTGCAACTGATTTGCATCTGGCAAGAGTGACCATCACCAATTCCAGGGCATGCTGATAGAAAACTGCTTATTTGGGTCTCAAGCTCACCTGATTTTCCCTCCTTAGATTAGAACTTCAAGTTACGCATTGCAGATTGAGTGAATGCCCTTTAATAATAAATACTTACACTTCAAGTTGCTTTGCAATCCTAGCAATGAAGTATCTGAGTTGTACCTCTACCCATCAGCTCAGCAAGGGGTGCTGAGACCCTTTTAAGAAGGTTTTTCAGCAGTCATAACTATCTGTCAGCAATCATTCAAAGCCATTGCACATGAAAGAAGCAAAGGGTGCTAACTAACCCTGACTGCCTTGTCTGGCTCACCCTGGAGCTGGCCCAGTAGCAGTGATCCTCCTCAACAGGATCATCACTTATGACATTCTGGTTCTTCTTCAACTACCTCTAATCATTACAGACAATCATCATGCATGGTGAGGAGCTGACATTTCTGTCTCCATCCAAACAGAAATGGTTTTGGGCCCATTTGATGCAGTAACAAATGGCAGTCTTGATGTGGTACAGGACAGACCTTCCTTCTTACCAGGAAACTGTTCCCAAGCATCTTTCCATGTTTTACCCTCCTGTAACCTTCTGTGGTTATCATCCCAACTTGCTCCATCTTTGCTCCCCATCACCCCACAGCCTTCTGATATTCTTGCCTGGAGCAACTACGAACAGTGAACTATGAACAACTCCCAAAGGAGCCTGAAAGCAACTCCTAAAGGGACACTTTTCAGGGGCCTGCCCACCAGTTTTGAAGTTAATAGCCACTTTTGGAAGCAGGACAAACATCTAATTCAAATGTCATCATTACAGGGTTTTAACTGCTGGTTTCTTCCAAAAATTAGCTAGCTCTGAACTGCAAAAGCATTGATATTCGATTAACCTTCTAAAGATTTTGGATCACCTGAGGAAGCTGAATTTGAAGATATTAAGAAGTATGTGGTTGTACTTAGTGTAAGGTAAATTTTAATATGGAATAAGTTTCTGGTCCACACTTACTACAGCATGTTTGAGTATTAGGCAGGTTGAGAGTGGTTGGAAATAGCCAGAAAGACAGCACTGCTACCCAATCTCCAGGGTTACAAAACCCAGATGTAACAGCCCCTTACCCAAGAAACCTCAAGTCCAAATAGACCTGGACAGGAGTGATTTACCCTTGGCATGGTTCCTAAACCATGTGAGAAATATTTTCCTAGTTTAGACAGGCACCAGTGCATTGTCCAGCCCCAGCTCTGTTACCACTCAGAGGCTGCATTACCTGCACCAGGGACTCTGCCCTCTCAGGCCACCAGAGAGGCAAGCACAGAACATCTCAATGCTCTTGAGCTGCTGCCTGGCTCACCAAGCCTCTCACTACACCTGCTGGGGTGGGATGGCCCTTGGCTTGTCTGAGACAGGAAGCAGCTGTCAGTGCTGCCCTGAGCTGCTCCAGGGAGTGCTCAGCATTGCTCTCATGTCGTAACCAAGCAATAGTTGCTGTCTGCAATTGCTGCCATGTACACAACAAAAGCAGCACAAAAAATAGAGGGGAGTCACCAACTTCTCCCTTCTGGCTCTCCACACACAACCATGTTGTTTCAAGGTTTTTCACACAGCCAGTGCACATCTGGGGAAGGCCTTCTTTGACATGGATACACACCCATGTAGTGGGACCATGGTCAAGACCCCCAGCCTCCAGCATCACCCCACAGCCCCCAAATCCTTTCATGCCCACTGCAGCTGAGTGGCCACATGCTGCACCAAGACTGCCAAAGGGCAGTGGGTGCACAGCAATGAATCTGAGCCCCCACCCCAAACCTCTGCATGGGAGCATCCTCTGGGCACAGCTGGGGAGTGCACGGGAGTGTGCAGACAGACACGGGCAATGCAGCCCCTCTCCCCAAACCCCTCTGGAGAGCAGGATCACCTGGGTGGTGCAAAGTCCAGAGCTTCACCCCCAGACTGCTGCCAGGACCCCCAGCCTGGGGGAGGGATGGGCTTATCCCCAGGGATACTTACTCCTCGTGCCCTTTGCAGAGGAAGAAGAGGGTCCTCCAGGCCTGCACTGTGGCCAGCAGCAGGGAGAGGAGGCCGGTGAAGATGCTAAAGCGGCAGGCAGCCTCAGGCCCCCACTCCTGCACCGTGAAGCGCTGCCGCTCCACTGTCAGGTTGGCGTTGAGCCACATGCCCTCGGTGAAGAGCAGGCACCGGCCGTGGAAGTCGTTGCCATTCTCGGAGAGTGGCACCACCACGATGAAGCTGAAGAGAAAGGCCAGGAAATAGCAGATGCACTGAGCGAAGAGGAAATTGCTGAGCGCCATGTCCGCGGCTCTGCGCAAGCAGTGGGAGGGAAGGAGGGAGGGGTGGAGAGAGGGATGCAGGAGGAGGGATGCAGGAGGAGGGATGCAAGAGGAGGGATGCAGGAGGAGGGATGCAGGAGGAGGGATGCAGGAGGGAGGGATGCAGGAGGAGGGATGCAGGACAGAGGGATGCAGGAGGAGGGATGCAGGAGGAAGGGATGCAGGAGGAGGGATGCAGGAGTGAGAGACGGGGGGGAGGGATGCAGGAGGAGGGATGCAAGAGGAGAGATGCAGGAGGGAGGGATGCAGGAGGAGGGATGCAGGAGGGAGGGATGCAGGAGTGAGAGACGCGGGGGGAGCGATGTGAGGTGGGACGCGGGGAGGATGGAGGGATGGAGGGAGGAAGGCAGGCTGCAGCAGTAGGCGGTGGGCAGGGAGGGAGGATGCGCAGTGCAATGCAATGCGATGCAGCGCGGTCCGATGCCTCCTCCGGACACGGCTGCTGCCCCTCCCGCAGCCCAAGCTGCCCTGTGAATGGTTTCGGGGCTTGTAGGAGAGGAGGGGAGCGGAGAGAGGAAGAGCTGCTGTGGGGTATCTCTCTTCGGGGAAAGCTGGCTGCTACTACGCCCCGGCGCCCTGGGGGTTAAATCAGTCCGTGCGTCTCCAGCAGGGCTGGGGCCCGCCAGTGGGGATCCCCCTAATGACACGGGACACTGATGTCACACCTGTTTATGGCCATTACACACAAATACCCATAAACAGCAAAGTGGCTTCCTTCTAGCTGCTGGATCCCAGGAAATGTTGACTCAAGTTTCTAAAAATCTGGCCACCAGCCTAGACGGTGGCAATAACAGACAGGGTGCACAGCCACCCTGACGCCTACTGGCCCAGTGGCTTTGTTCCTAGCCCAGGTGGTCACTCCCCTACCAAGATACTGCAAGAGGAGCAAAGGCTCACCAGAAGTGGAATAACTTTTCTTGAGCCTTGGCGTTGTTTAGGGGCTGCCTGGGGTTAGGATCAGCTCCATTATCCCCTGGCTGGCAGGTGGAGCAGGACTGAAAGAAAATAACCTTAAGCAAATTCCTCCTGGACATCAAGCTGGGAATAGAGGAGTACAGCAATGGGACATGCATGACAGGAACAGATGAATTTTATTCCCAAGTGTGAGCATCCACCCTGCCCCACACCATGCTTGGGAAGACATCCCAGCACCCCATCTGCTGTAGGGCCCAAAGCTGCAAGGCCAGGATCCCAGAAAACAAAAGGCATCTGAGAGAGGAATGTGGGTTGAGCTCAAATCACTCTGGTGCAAAAATCCAAATTAAACTGAACTCAAGTTAAAGTTTCCCCATAATCTCAATTTCATTTTTCCATCTCAGCATGAATCCTCTCTCCAGCACAAGACACCACAATTAATGTCCAGTTCCAAGTAAAGTAATTTCCTAATCCAATTTCCAAACCACATCCAGTCTGAGATCAGCTGCAGGTCTCAAATCACTTCTTAATACCAGGGCTGTTTACGCTCATTTTATTACTGTGCCACTTCCCAGGCAGTGTTTGGAGAAGCAGATGAGGGACAGAGACCCCAAATACAGTGCACATGGGAATTCAGGCTGGTGTTTCCATTGGCAAACCAAACAGTTATTTTTTCTATGCTGTTAAGAGGTTACAGATACAGTCCTGAGGAAGGCACTGGGGGGATTCTCAGGGAAGACATTAATTCAGCTTCATTGCAAATCATTTGTAATGCATATTATCTTGAAATCTCACTCTATCTGTGCAGGGGAAGAATTTCTTGAATGAAAACTTTTGTCAGTGTAAATGTAATGTGCCAGGCCAGTTTTCTGATCCTTACCCAACTCTGATCATAAAAACTTGTATTTCAGTTTTGTAAGATGAGTTATAGAGCACTGACCTGACCCTGTGGGGATAGACAAGCGCTCCTAACAGAAAAGATTTTGCCAATATTTCAGTCTAGTGGTAAGGAGGAAAGTTTATTGCTCTTAACCTTGCTTCCAAGACTTACTTGGTTCCCACAGGGTTTTGTCCTTTACCTATAAAGAAATCAGACCTGGACTGAGGTGGAAAACTCTTTTCTTTGAAATGTGACACATCAGATTTGCCAGATAATGTTTTCTGAACTTAACTTGGGAGGTCAGCACCAACATGAAAGCCCAGTTATTGCTTACACTGGAGCCCACAGAAGGGGCCAGCAGATGCCAAGGGCTCTTTGCCTCGGGCAACTCCGTGCTCAGATCTCACCAGCAGCAGCCACAGGGCTCTGCTGCTCAAGGGTGTTTGCAGAGGTGAATGCAGGGGTCACTTGTAGAGCAGATAAAGTTGTCTATGCTGATGAGCTAACTCAAGCAAGCATTTATTGGAGAGTTTCAGTAAACACAGGCTTTTACAAATGTGAGCAGACATGTAAAACTTAGCAGGCTCACAGCCACTGGAGCACAGGACTTGGTCTTAAGCAGTGATCACACACTGGAGTGAGCAAAGGGATAGAAATAAAACCTGTCAGCCATCACTTTGACAGCTGCCTGGATTTCTCATACTCTTCTCTCATGTAAATCCTAAAACAAATCCTGCTAGGCTGGAACTGGTCTTGGAAACATGGAGTTGTTTCAGTGGAGTACATTGGACATGTTTACTTTTCTCAAGGTGGTGAAACTGAGGGAGAAAGGCAAGGTGAATGATGATTCATTCATTCTCATCACAGGGAATGGAGTACATTATACACAGGCCAGGCAAAAACTCTGAAACAAAGGAAAAGATGCACATTTTTCTCACTGCACATAATTGTTCTGTGGTACACACCATGGGACACTGAAGAGGCAAAAAAATTAGATAAATTAATGGCAAAAAGAAGTCCATAAGGACCTGAGAAATGCAGAGTTGGAGAAGTAACCTTCAGCTCAGGAAGCCCCTCACAGCAGGTTGCTGGGAAGGTGAAATGGATCACAAAATGATCCCTTTACATCTCCAGAATCCTCTATTCTCCCCCGAACCAAGCACCTGCTCCTGGCAGGCCTTGGAGATGGGATCCCCAGGGAGAAAACCCTTTGGTCTGAACTGCTTTGGCCATTTCAGGTTCTCCTTACAGCAGCTGGCAGCACCAGCCTGGGGTCTCAGCTTTGCCATCCAAGTGGGGAGAGCTGTCCCTCCAAAGATCCCCCATGCTTTGGCTGCTGTGAATTTCCTTAGGAGGGAATTCCCCCCAGAGCAGAGCTGTGGAGGAAGCCAGTGGGGCAGTTCTTGCAGCTGCAGATCACTGAGAGAAGAGATGAATGTGTGACAAGAGGAGGCTGCACATTCCCCTGCTCTGGTGGTACCACCACAAGAAGAACAGTTCAGATGTGTTCCTACTGCAGCCTCACCATGAACAACATCACCTTGACCACAACATCCCTTATCACCACAGCACAGGGAGGTCTCACCTGCTCCAGGCACCCACCCAGGCGTGCTGCACAGGAATTAAACCCCCAGGATAACCACGTTCTGACATGGGGCTGAAGGTGCCTTGCTCAGCATCAGGGAGAGTGAAGTTCAAAGTTTGTAAATTTTATTTTTCTGGGAAAAAAAAAAGAAAAGCCACAAAAATAAAATATGATGCAGGACCAGCTGCCATGGAACCTCAGTGATAAGCAGAAAACCAACCAGGATAAATCAAGATTAGATATACCATATTTGCCTGTATTCCCTTCAGCCCCATATCTCCTTCTAGCTGCCTGGCTAATCCTCTGTAGATCAAGTAACATGTATGAGTTGGGCTGATGTGGAATGACTGATGGGGATGGTGTTTTTGGCTGTGCTGCTCCACACTCCCTCTCAAGTCATTAATTATGCCATCTGACATGAGCAGTGCTCTCAAGTTGATATTTGTGAAGTAAGTGATGAATTTCCTCTCCTCTTGATAGCTCATTAGGACGTGTTTTATTATGGGAAAATTTGCTGAGGAATTAATTATTCAGACAAAAACAGTTTTGAATGCAGTTTTATTTGTTTTTATATTTATTCTGCCTTGGATATATCATTTCTGTGGTCCAAGAAAAATAGCAGCAGCATGTCTAGAAGGTGGCTACCACCTTGCTACCAGTAATGCACTGCTTATTTCTAGAGAGAAGCACAGAGTCACAGCAGTACCTCTGCTGAAGGATGCCCAGGGAGCAATATGTCTGTATTCTGGGCAGTTGCTTTTGAGCTAGCCCTTCAGTCACTCAAAGGCAACTTTTCCCTGATTTACTTTAGCTCAAACATCTGCCTCAGGCATTTTACCAAATGGTTTGGCAAATGCAGTTTGCCCCAGGCTTTGGAGTCTATTTAATTCAGACTCTATTTTATTCAGGCTCTCTGGTCTGTTTTATTATTATATTAATCCATTGTTGCTGTTGGTTGTTATTGTCATTATTATTCCAAAAGTCTTGACCTATGGTATTTGTCCTCTGAAACTAATGGAAAGGATCCAGGCATGTCACATATCGATCGTTGATGTAAACAACCCTTTTCTGGGAGAGGTTTCTCATGGTGATCACTGTATTTAAGAAAGTCTCTGCCACTAGTTCAGAAGGATTATAGACAAAGTACCAAGTTGTCAGCCACCTGTCACATCTGCATTTCTTCACAGCTATCACTGCGTCATGAATCTCCCAGGGCATCTCATTTGGGAACATGCTGACATTTTGCCTTTTATTTTTTGTGAGTACCTCCCTTCTGCTAGGAAAGCTGTCTGGTCTGTGAGGAGGTTATGAGCAGAGAGGGTGCCATGCTGACAGACATTAATGGAGCAGTTATCAGGAAGCAACTAAATATCATTAATGTGTGCAGATAGAATAACCTCTCTATTTTGATAGCCAAGGAAAAAGAAACATATTCAAACATATTCACATTCTGAACTGAACAAGCATGGACTGTGACTAAGATATAAATTTTAAAACAAAATAAAATCGTAATAATAATAATAATAATAATAATAATAATAATAATAATGTGCTTGAGATTTTCAGAACATCATTAACAAAAATCTCCGAGTGCCTTGTGCATGTCAAACTCCACAGCACCTTACACCCTGTAAGAGCTGTAAGAGCTGGCAGGAACGCTGTCCCAAAAGGGCACATGAGTTGGTCAACTGCCTCTGCTGTCCTTGAGGAGGGGAAAGGTAATGA